CCATCATGTTAGTCGTATTCCCCGACTTGTATTTCACCACAGTCTGGCAGTGCCTGCATAGCGTTTTTTCTTTGTCTGTCACTTTTTCTCCTTACTCAGAGAAACCGAAATACTTCCACACGTCTGATTTAAAACCCGCTTTAGATTCGTCCATTTCCAGCTCTTTTCCTTCGCCGTTATTAGCAGCACCCTTTATTCTGCATTTCTGGATCTGTAGCGACAACAGACGGCAAAGATGGGAATTGTGGTTCTCCCATTTGTTTCATTCGCCTGAGCAAACTTTTCTCAGAAGACCTACCTTTTATCGAGTCATGCAGCTACGGTAATATAAAAAAAAATTGATATTGCGATACGACGGTATGTACAATACAGTTACATCCCTATTTATAAGCCAGATCACCACATGGGCTCGGGACTACTACGGCAAACCTTTGTCAAGTACCACAATACAAAGTTACATCCACAAGTGCCAGTGAAAACTATACTGTTCAAAAAGGAAGCCCTATGTTAACAGTGTCCAGAAGTGCCGTTGACTTCTTTGGGCTCGGAGGTATCTGGGATAGACACATTGGGAATGTGTACTGTGCTCAGATTAATCCGTATTTCAGGTATTTTTTGGGAGAAATGGACGCCAAGTGCTCCGGACTAAAAAAGAAAAGGATCATCCAGACTGTTACCAGCAACAATTCCAAAAGCCAGGGTCTGTCATGGTATGGGGTGGTGTCAGGGCCCTTGGCGTCTGTGATGCTCTATTAATGCTGGAAAGCACAGAGAGATTCTGCAGCACAGTATGCTGCCTTCTTCTCCAGGGACACCCATGCATATTTCAACAAGATGTACAGGTACTTGACTGGCCTGTCTGCAGTCCCGACCTGTGTCCAATAGAGAATGTGTGGTGCAAAATGTGACAATGAAAACCCCATACTGTTGCCCACCTTAAGACTTGTTTGCAGGAAGAATGGGACAAAATTGCAACTGAAACACTTCATCACTTGCTGTCTTCAGTCCCTTAACGTCTTTAAGTGTTGTGAAAAGGCACGGCAACATTACAAAGTGGTAAATGCTTTACTGATATAACCTTTTCATGAAATGTGTTGCAAGAACCAAAATTGGAATACGTGTTCATGTGAAAACAAGCAATATAGATCATGAGGAGCACATTAAATTAAAAGATTTAAAACTCATTACTTTCTTTTTTATTTGCCCAACCTTTTCTGATTTGGGGTTGTATTATATGAGACCTCCAAAAAGAAATGACAGCATAACAGGGGCCCTTCAACAGAATGGCCGTCGTATTCATGTCAGTAAATGAAAAGAAGTCAAACCTCGTTCACCGTTGCGTTCAGAGGAAGCATTCTCAGCATCACAATGTTGCTGGGTTTCTGGAGCGCGTCTGCATCAGATCTGTAGTCCTGATCGTGGACTTCTGCCTCCTCAGGGTCAAAACTTCCATCCTTCATTTTGCTCTGTGATTGGACTTGATCAGGAAAACCCTAAAATCCAGAAGACCCACTGTAAAACTTGACGTAATCAATTTGTGTTGGGCAACATAAAGAAATTAAGTTCGCTTATACGTTTCTACAGATTGAAGTGGATTGAACATCAAACAATTAAATTGTCCCAAAAAAACCTAAGAATTGTGTCTTTCCAGTTCATTTTAAATAAGCAGTTTAGACGGCACTTCTTGATGCAAAAACGTCACGCTTCTCAATTTAAAACAAACAAGAGAAATGTTTAGAGAGTGAAATATAGGGGAGTCACAGGCGAGGACTATTGTAGCTCCGTAAACCCTCCCAGTTTATCTCATTAATCCAAACATTCAGGGCTCAGGAAACCAAGACATTTTAAGGTCTGTCACACCCTGAAAACAACTTTTCAGTTGTATATAGATAATATTAATTTCTATTCCCACAGTTTACATTAGTATCAGCTGAAATAATGAGAGAAAAACTCCAGGATGGTGTGATCAAGACTTTCAGAAAGAGGAAAACAATAGTGCGAGATACTATTTAGCATAACGGCAGTCGGAAGAGAGAATCATGGCAGATTTACTGTCCTGACCACCATACACACTGCATTACACACACCTCACACAAGCGCTCATTCGTTGTCTGTAATTTGACACAAAGACGATATAATACATACATAAATACACAGGGCTCGAAATTGCGACCATTTTGGTCGCATATGCGCCCGAAATTTAAGCTATGCGACCTCATAATATATATTGGGAGCATTCGTGCGACTGCATATAATAGTTGTAGTGCGACCTGTTTTGGTTTTTTCCTAAAAACGTGGTAAAAATCGATCTTCCCTGCCGCTATATTGGTTCATATTAGCTGTCAATCACTGAAGGCTTTCTGCTGTCAGATGACAGGGAGGGAGCTTTTGTGACCGCGGAGAATGCAAAGGCTGATGAGTGAAAAGTACACTGACTCTCGATGCGTTGCATGCACTGCGTGTTCAGCCAACACAATCTCACGGCAATTCGTAACTTATTCATACGTTTCCTTTTGAGGTCAGGCTGCTACAGCGCAAATGTCCGCTAAAACACCATCGCCAAAGAAGCTAGCCTTTAGTTTAAAACGAGTTTAAACTGATGCGGGTTATAACAGAGAACAGTATTGCGCCGGTGGTCATCGGGAGAATCCTGCTCTGCCCCCCTCATATTGGGCCGGCTGACTCGCATGCTTTTCCGCAAACACAGAAAAATGTAATTCAGCGCGTAACAAGGCCGAGCATTAAAACGCCACAAACCAAAACCAAAACTTTTAAAAGTGAGACTTTTCTTCCTTTCTTTTGTCCGTTCTTTCTTGAGGTGTATATTATTTTTCTATTTAATTACTGATGACTGCTTTGCAGCTTTCAGCATTGAATGGTTTATTATATTATTTTGTTTGTTTTGTAGCAGAAATATTATTTATTAAATTGACATGCATATAAAAACAATAGTACAAAATAAATATTTCTAACTGCAATGCTTCATTTGTGTTTGATGCAAACCATTGATTTATTTTTCATAAAGTAACAGCAGGACTTTATACAGCAGATAACTTACATTAAAGCACATTTAAGGCAGCATGATGATGAGAAATGTAATTCATTATTAGTATTATTGTCATCATCATCATCATCATCATTATCATTAATATTTTATAATTATTCAACATTCATTTTGGAATTATTGCACAAATATTAAGTCATCACAGCATTAGTTAGATAGTTTCTGGGTTTTGTTAGTCCCATTTGATGTTGTTTTCAAATACAATAAATCCCATAATATACAACTTGTCTAATATATCATTCATTTTTGGAGGGTGCTCCTAAATTTTTTCTGGTGCTCCTAAATATTTCAGGTTGGGAGCACTGGTGCTACCAAGTAAGAAAGTTAATTTCGAGCCCTGATACATATATGTTTCTTTGAAAAATCTAAATATTAAAACTTTCAAGGATTTAAGATGCTGATGAGAGTTAACCAAGTCATGTGAAAAGGGTCCTCTGGCTGAACTCCAGCAAAGATAACAGTACTCACTTGTTTGTGCTTGAGATTTCGATTTAATTTGTCTTCCTCGGCTCTCCATTCTGCATTGTATTCTCCCTGAGAGTTTTGCCGTCCTCTTAATCTGCCCCATGTGTTGTCCTCATCGCCTTCCTCTTCATCTGGTGTTTGTTGGTCCAGGAACACCTTCGGTCTGGATCTTAAAGACTGTGCATCTCTCCTGCGCGCCTCGGTTTCTGCTTCAAACTCATAATCCTTTCCATCATGCTGAAATCTTGAGTGGATGTTCTGATCTTTTCCGACTTCGGATGCACGGTTGCCCTTTTGTCTGAATCCGGGTCGATTATTTGAGAAATTACCTGAGGGGAAGTCTTTAGGGCCATCGGAGCTGCCGTCATGCTGCCTTGTATTTGCTAAGCTGCTAGTTAGCCCCAAGCCATTTTCCTGTCCGTATCCGCGATAGTCCATGTCTCTGTAGTCGTGATCATCTGACGCTTTCCCATAGCGGCCCATTCGGTCACCACGACCCCTAAAACATTGTGAAAAAGAAAAATGTTTGTCCTGCTGCTTTATAGACAGCATTTAACAGGAGCTCTACTGTGCACATTTAAGTGAAACCAAAAAATGTTATGTTTTCCTTTAAATGCAAATGAGCTGCTAAACCCTGCCCAACTTTTAAAAGAGGGCGGAGCCTTTACAGCCTGTGCCTCAGTAACTCAACAACAAAATATCTGCATGTGTTGTGTTCTGAAGTGTTAATTCACCCAAAAATAAAATATCTTTCATTTACTAATCACCCTCAAGCTGCTTCAAGTTATTTCTTCTAAACATAATTAAAAATATTTAAGGTGAATAATAGAAAACCTACTTTTACAATTTTTTACATAATGTATTTGTCAGCATGTATTGAGGGTTGACACTTGCATTTTAAGGTTGCATATAATACGGTCAGTATATTAACGCATGACTCCATGCAGTGGTTACATGCAAAGTGATAATAAAAAGAGAAGATGACACTGCAGGCTGAGCGACTCTTGACCTACCTCCGCTCATAATCCATGCTTCAGTCCACTCAAACGCCCACTTTTCTCTCTTTCTGCTTCATTTACAACTGTTAACAAGATATATAACCATCAACCCTAACATTCACAAAGGCATCGCATTAAAACGAGAAGAACTACTTCTTTTACCCAAAGCAAAAATGCATAATAACACGAGCATATGATAATACGGGTTGATCAGAGCCGAAATACATAAATTAGTGCTTGTAAAAAATAATCGCATCCAAAATATGTATGTATGTATGTATATATATATATATATGTATATATGTATGTATGTATGCATGTATATATA